ATGGATTCATTAGAATTCTTTCAATTTTCAACTATAAATGATCGTCAAATGCACCTTACAACAATTGATGTAGAAAACAATTTATTTCATTCATTAATTACAAAAATTACCCTTCAAAAAACCCAGTACCAATTTCAACAACGTAATCAAAAAAAACCAATTGGTCAAATTAGATTGCTGAAAATTACCTCTGATAATGATAAAAATAAATGTTCAATCTTAAAAACCAATTTTAATCATAACATAAAGGAGGGAGAGTACATTGTCATTAAAGGACAAAAATTAAGTGTTGTTGATGTAATTTCAGATACTAAATTGAAAGTTGCAGGTGTATATCAGACCTTATCACTTGACAATGATGATGCATGGGTAGACTTTCAAACTGTGCCAAAGACAAAACTTAATGGTTTTATTGATGCATATAAATTAATGTTTGAAAAGTATCCAATTGAAAGTTGCATAGATTCTGAGCAAAACAGGCCACTTAATTTGAAAATAGTTCTTGATATAAATGATGATGATGAATATGAAAATTATGATAGAAAGTTTGAAAAATATGTTATTAGTATGTTCAATGAGTTAAAGAAGAAAACAAAAAAACCTGCATCTATTTTAAAGCATTTTAAAACCACCATTACAACATTTTCAGATCTAGATATTGAAAAAAATAATTTTATATCAAAACATTCAATTAAATATCAACTAGGAGAATGGATAATTCAACTTTCATGTTTAATACCCATCCAGATTGCAGTTGCTAAAAATAATCAATTTCAACCACTTCGAGATGGTTTAGCATCAAATGATTATGAGGTAGATTTTGATGATGAACATGGGCGTCGTTTTGGTGGTATTGCAGAAAATATTTCACTTGGATGGTATGAAGGTATATTTAAACATTTTGGTGATCGTCAAGTCAAAGTTGTTTCAAGTATGGGTGAACAATCATGTGGGAAATCATATATGTTGAACCACCTTGTTGGAACAACATTTGATGGTTCTGCAATGAGATGCACTGAAGGAGTGTGGATGTCATTATTTATAACAAAAAAATATATTTATGTTGCACTTGATTTTGAAGGATTAAAGTCTTTGGAAAGAACACCACAAGAAGACTTATTTTTAACTTTGT